TTTATAATCACTAATAATCACTGCATCACGATGTATATATATATCACCATTGCTATTACATCAAACCATTTATGCAATTTGCAATACATAACATCCCATCAAACCAATGGTCCAATATACAGTAATACATCACCGGTACAGGTTATAACCAACATACACCACATCAAGCATAACAAACAAGATTATATACCCTATAACCAACATCACATCAATATACAGTATACAACAGCGTATCACTACCACAGGGTATGGCCTGAGGCAGCCGGTGGGGCATCTCGATTTCTACCCGAACGACGGAGGCGCTCAACCCGGCTGCGAGACCATTGCCCGGGTTCCTCTGACGGCGATGATGGATGGCAAAAATATTCTTGAGGGTAAGACTTGCTTTGAGAGAGCGTATTGGATGCTTAAGATGATGTGTTTGTGTGAATGTTTGTGCGTGTGTATTTTTTTTCTTCCGTGTTTTGTGTTTTGTGCGTGTGTGTGTGTGGGGGGGTATTGCTTTTTGTTTTGTTTATTCTGTTTGTATGTATGTCTCTGTTACTGTTTCTGGCTGTCTCTGTCTGTCTGTCTGTCTTTCTCTTTCTCTCTCTCATTCTCTCCACCTCCTTTCCTCCCTTCCCAAATTTTCTCTCCCTCAATCCTCCCACTCCCTTCCTCCATCCCTCTCCACCCCCTCCCTCCCTCTCTCCTTCCATCCTATTACCACTCCCTCCACCCCTCTCTCCATCCCTCCCTCCCTCCCTCCTTCCCACTCTCCTGCCCTCCCTCCCTCCCTCCCTTCTCTCCCTCCTTAATTCCCTCCTTCCTTCTCCTTCCCACTCCCTCTCCTTCCCTCTCCTTCCCTCCATCCTCCCCCACTCTTTCCTCTAATCCCTCCCTTCTTCCCTTCATCCTCCTTCCTCTCCACCCCCTTCCTCCCTTCCTCCCTCCCTCCCACCTTCCCTCCCACTCCCTCTCCTTCCCTCCATCCTCCTCCCACCCCCTTCCTCTCCTCCCTCCCTCCTTCCCACTCTCCCTCCCTCTTCTCACAAACCCGCTTCCTTCTCCTCAGGTCTCGACGCAGCGCAGAAAGACCTGGTGGCTTGTCGTCATTACCGCGCTCCTAAGCTCTTTACCGACGCCATCTCTTCGTCCTGTCCGTACGTGGCTTTCCAGTGTGAGTCGTACAAGCAGTACCTGGCCGTAAGTACCTGTCGCCTTCGTAATAAATTCCTTTTTTTTGGGGGGGTGGGGGGGTGGGGGGGGCTGAGGAGAGGAGGGGAGGGAGAAGAATGCTAGAGATAAAAGATGTAGAAAGTGAAAGGAACGGTACTAGTAGGCCTAGATTAATTGTTATAATTTGTGGTTAGACTGTTTTATCTTTCATTATCATAATGAGGGTTAAACTCCTTATTATATGCTGTATAAACTAACGATTCATTTCTGTTGTTAACTGTTGTTATAAGCTTGTATTAGTAACTGATCATTAATATTACTAATTAACTGTTGTTACAGTGCTTACATATTATGTTACTTCATATATTAACGATTATATTAAGTCATCAACTGATGCGTATATCACCGGTTGAATTCTTTGGTTGACTACTACATATATTATCGAATGATTTCTACAATTGTATTATACATTAATACATAATTAACGATTACGATGCGTTATTATCTGCTACATATATGAATGACTGAATCCCATTATCACAACATAAATTAACGTTAATACAAATTTATAAAAAAATACCTTTACTTCCTCTAATATCCAAGATAAGATAAAGATTTTGGGATACAATATTAACTATTAAACCTTTACCATAATCATATACATAATAATTTTAAGGATCATGAGATTATTGACTCTAGGGATCGTACGTATAATCAATCTAGGGATCATAAGCATAAGCATTTTAGGGATCGTACGTATAACCATGCTAGTAACCATAACCAGATAATTCTTGATAAACTAATGATATAAACCGCCAAAATACACAATGAATTACTTACAACGAAATGTAAATAAGGGCCAGTGTACGAGCTGTGGCGATGACGGTTCAAGATGCGCGCGCTTAGGCCTAAATGCGGAGAAGTGGCCGGGGAGGAACCGAACGCAGCACGTCACTATGTTCCTCTCGACGGCGGATGGACCCCACTACTGCTGTGAGTTTGACGTGTTTTGGAGTTGTTTTGGTTCTTGTGTGTTTGTGTGTGTGTGTGTGTGTGTGTGTGTGTGTGTGTGTGTGTGTGTGTGTGTGTGTGTGTGTGTGTGAATCTGTCGTAGGATTTTTAGGTTTACTTTTTATTCCTTTTTTATAGTTTTTTTTTCTATTTCTATTATATTTTTCCTATTTTGTTTCGGTATCTCTTTTCCTTTCGTGTTTTTTTTCTTTTGCTCTCTCTCTCTCTCTCTCTCTCTCTCTCTCTCTCTCTCTCTCTCTCTCTCTCTCTCTCTCTCTCTCTCTCTCTCTCTCTCTACACACACACACACACACACACACACACACACATATATATATATATATATATATATATATATATATATATATATATATATATATATATATATATATATATACCTGTATTATGTATGTATGTATGTATACGTATTATTCACACACTCACACTCACTCTTACCCTGACCCTCACTCTCACTTTCACCCTCACCCTCACTGCCTTCGTCTCCTGACCATCATTCAAGTCACTCTTAGGTTGAAACAAAAATCCTGTAGGTTGTCCTCCCTCATTACAACATTATTACAACAAGATTATATTATATTACACCGTTATTAGAAGAATACATCATATTACATCATTATTACAACAAGATTACATTATATTACAGCGTTATTAAAAGAATACATCATATTACAGCATCATTACAACAAGAGCCCCCCTTTATTCCAGTGTACCATTACCGAGTGATCGTAGAAGTGGCTCACATAATCGGGCGTCTAGGCTCAGTCCGCGGCCACCTGCATATCTACGCCATCAACGGCAACGGACAGATTCGCGAGCTTCATATGACTCAGTACGTTACTTTACGTTTCTATTGTTTCGACATGATGTCATTAACACAGACGTAACGGTTTGAGGTTATGGTGTTAAGTGATAGTAACGTATTCGTGCAGGTAACGCGAAACAATGGCATGGCAGGAACAGAATCAGGACGTTTTTTTAGTGTCATTGTTTATTTTCTTGGTAATGATTTTCTTTTTTTATGTATATATAAGCAAAATATGAACTTGTTGGATCGTATAAGCTTCGGAGTCGTTGGTTGAATGAGACAACGACTGATTATCAGTGGCGTAGATAGGAAAATTTATAGGGGGGGCGAGAAATGCAGATTTTCCGACAAAAAATTGATAAGCATTTTCGTTTCTTCATGATTATTTTCCGACAAGATTAGCAATTTTCCGACAAAATGGCAGTTTAGCTCTAGAGGGAGGGTATTCCGCCCCCCCTGACCCCCCTCTATCTATGCCACTGCTGATTTTAACGTGTTAACATCATGTCTTTAAGGGGGGTGTATATTCCTCTCGTCTGTCTTGAATAAAAAAAAGATAGACGGATGGACAGATAGACAGGCGATGTAGAGTTTACCCTTCTGCAGTGATTATACCGTGCTATTTACTCCTTGTCTTTGGGTGGATATATTCCTTTCGTCTGAGTTATTACCATTAAATGATAGAGATAGATGAGCAGGTGACGAGATAGACAGGCGATACATAACACATCCTTCTTCTACAGCTTGGCGAAGACCTTCCACCCCGGCAGGAGCTACACTTTCCTGGCACATCACCGGCAGGACCTGAGTGACACGCAGGAGATCCTCGTCCACTGGAGTTACGAGGCCAGTCCCTTCGATCCTTCCACCTTCTGCGTTCTCTTCTGCGACACCAGCCTTCCCCTGGGCAGTATCTCCTTCTCCAGCGTGGATCAGGTGGCGAACAGGTGAGACTGGCTTGATCTTTCTCTAAGGGAATTTGGGATTGAAATTTGGGACTTCTAGTGGTGAATAAAAAAGAGAGAGAGAGAGAGAAATATATATGTAAAGTCACATCTGCTTTTAGTTTTCGTAATTACAGAACTAGAAAAAAGTCCATATAGTAACATCACTGTATCAAATTTTCTTCCTCCTCCTCCTCCTCCTCCTTTTCTTCCTCCTCTTCCTTTTCCTCCTCCACCTCTTCCAACCCCTTTTCCTCCTCCTCCTCCTCCTCTTCCTTCTCCTCCTCCTCCTCCTTCTCCTCCTTCTTCTCCTCCTCCCCCTTTTCCTTCTCCTCCTCCTCCTCCGCCTCCTCCTCCTCCTTTTTCTTCTCCTTCTCCTCCACCTCCTCCTCCTTTTCCTCCCCCTCCACCTCCTCCTCCTTTTCCTCCTCTTCCTCCACCTCCTCCTCCTTCTTTTCCTCCTCCACCTCCTCCTCCTCCTCCTCCACCCCCTCCTCCACCTCCTCCTCCACCTCCTCCTCCTCCTCCTCCTCCTCCTCCTCCTCCTCCACCTCCTCCTCCTCCTCCTCCTCCACCTCCTCCTCCTCCTCCTTTTCCTCCTCTTCCTCCACCTCCTCCTCCTTCTTTTCCTCCTCCACCTCCTCCTCCACCTCCACCTCCACCTCCACCTCCACCTCCTCCTCTTCCTCCACCTCCACCTCCTCCTCCTTTTCCTCCTCTTCCCTCCCCCCCCCCAAAAAAAAAGACGATACAACAACTACATCTCCGAGGGACCAGACAACGTGTCCATGTGCCACAAGCAAGGCCATAACCTCATCCTGATCAAGAGCGGAGAGACGGTGAAGCTCGCGTCATCCCCCAAGTGCGACCTCGTGACCAGGCGGCTCCTCGCTCTCCTGGACGCCGTGTCGAGGCCGCTCCGTTACGTCAAGGCGATTTCCGATTCTCCAGAGATAATTGAGCCTGTGAACTGGGTCGTGGGTCGGTAGGTTTAGGGGGGATGTTCGGTTGGGCTTTGAGATTTGGGATATGGTTTGGGGGTGTGGGTAGGTTAGGGGTGAGTTTGTGGGGAGAGTTGGGTTAGGTTTGGGTGTGGGTGTGGGTAGGTTTGGGTTAAGTTAGTGGGGTGAGTTGGGATAGGTTCGGGTGTGGGTGTGGGAAGGTTTGGGTTAAGTTAGTGGGGTGAGTTGGGATAGGTTCGGGTAAGTTAGGGTGAGTTAGTAGGTTGACTTGGGTTAGGTTGGGGTGTGGGTAAGTTAGGGTAAGTTAGTATGGTGAGTTGGGATAGATTTTTGGGGGGGAGGATAGGTTTGGTTGTGTGTGGGCAAGTCTGGGGTAAGTTAGGATAGGGCAGATTAAAGTCCGGGTCGGTTAGGATAGGTTTAGGTGAGTTTGCCTAAGTTTAGGATATGTTAAAATACGTCCCAAGGTAGATTAGAGTATGTTGGGGTAAGTTAGAATAAGTCAGCATTGGTTAGAGTAGATTTGGATAAGTTTACGTAAGTTAACGTAATTTATCATGAGTCTGGATAAAAAAGAGTGTGTCGGGATAGTCTAGGATAGTATAAGTATAAGTTACGATAGATTAGGTTAGGGTAGTGTCAAGGTATGTTATTAAAGGTTACAATTTTTGGTAGTTTAGGATAATTTTTCAAAATAGGTTAGGTTTAATTACAGTCAGTTTAAGATCAAGAGAACCGGTTTGTCTAGGATTAGTCAACCTTAAGGAAGAATCAGTGCCTCGTTGGGTAGGCTGAAGAAATTAGGTCAATTAAGGTCAGTTAGCCAATCCAGAATCACGTCATTTTAGGCCTTAGTGTAATTATGACGTCAATTATCTTCGTCTAAGCTAGGTTTGTTAAGGAAGTGAAGTTATCGCAGGACAGGATAACATCCGGTTTATATCACGATGTCAGTTATTTTTACACTGTATGAGATTTTAAGTAAGTTAAGGTAGAATTTGACGGGAGAGATAGTGATTTTATTAAGTTAGGTTTATTCAGATCGTCAGGCTAACTTAAGTCAAACTGTTCATGCTATGTTGTTACTTATGAACACTAGATTAGGTTGAATAAGTTAGGCAAAGTTAGGATCATTTGAATAACAGGGTATTTTTTTGGAATACGTTAGATTCAGCAGGTTAGACTAGTATAGATTAGGTCCCATTATGTCCAATTTACATTTTATTTACCTCAAACAAGATTAGCTTAATTAAGTTAGGTAAAGTTATAATATAACAGTTTTGGAAAAAGTTAGATTCAGTTAGATCATGAGGCAGGTTAGGTTCAACAATATGTAAATCAGGTCACGATAGGTTAGGTTAGACATGCAAATAAAGTGTTATTTATCAATATTTTCGTATAGCAGATCACTATTTTTTATGTTTATCGAAGGAAGGGCATACAATCCAAAAAAATATCTATTTTGTGATATGTGATATATTTTCAGTATTATGCTTACTTTATGATATTTGCAAGCTGGTAAAAAAAAATGTATTATTAATGTAATGTTTTATGCATCGTCATTCTGAATTTTTCAATATCCACTGATCATCAAACGCACGTGGCATTTTATTTGTTTTCAGAGCATATCATTACATTGTCATATTCACCTTCATCTAAGAATATCACCCGCTTTCGAAACATTATATGCATTTTCCGAAATCTTATTTGTGTTTGATAAATCCTTGTTTGAAAATGTGGTATAAAGACAGAAGATAAGAGTGGGTTTATTATATCATATGCACCGAAATTATGAAACAGAACAATATATGTATATATATATATATATATATATATATATATATATATATATATATATATATATATACATATATATATATATATATATATATATATATATATATATATATATATATATATATATATGCATGTTTGTATGTATGTATGTATGTATGTTTGTGTATGTACGAATATATAATATATGTATGTATGTATGTATGTATATGTGTGTGTGTGTGTTTATATATAAGTTTGTGTGTGTGTGCGTGTGTTTATATATATACATATGCATATATATATATATATATATATATATATATATATATATATATATATATATATATATATATATATATATACATACATACATACATATATATATATATATATATATATATATATATATATATATATATATATATACAAAATATCTTAAACCCAATGTGTTGGCATGGAACTGTGTATTAATTTCTCTATTATCGAATTCTACACCATAAGGATAAGGATAAGTCTGGGAAGGAGAGTGAAACGCCTTTCTTTCTTTCTTTGTTGGATGTCTCGGCTATCGACCAGCAACGTGTGGCCAAAAGAAAAAAAAAAGAAATAGTCAGCCAAGGTCTTTAGGCCAATGGGTCCTATTCATTATATCTACACAAGGTCATAAGGTTTTGTCTCCCTTAGAAAAAACGATTACTTTACTTTTTTTCATTATCTGATAAAAAGTTGATATTGTGAATTCCGTATATTTTTTATTTTCAGATAATATTTTTGAATGGTTGTCTATAAACATTTTCATAATAAGCATCGAGTCCCTCGGTATCGAATGATATGCCAGAAACCACCAGTTTTTTAAATAAATATTGTTAAATATTTTTTTTTATTTCCGAATAAAAAAATAATACAAGCTGATAACAGGGAAAAAATATGAAAAATCGCAATATTGAATATAATTCATGAAACGAAGACTCGGATAGGGTCAGCGTCCGCAAAAAATGTCATGGAAGAGAAGTGTCATGGATTAATTATATTCTTTATAAGATATGTATACCAAAATTTTACATAAAAAGGTTTAGCTGTTTAACGATGTCCTTTTCATTGTCACCAACGTGACAGCAATGCAAATATTAAACTATTTAAGTCTCTCCTAACATGACATCAAGCGACCTCTCTGTTACTATAGAAAACGTAAATTAAAAAAGGGTAACTAATTTATTTATAAATGTCGCTAAAAAAGACTATATCTATCTATCTATCTATCTATCTATCTATCTATCTATCTATCTATATATATATATATATATATATATATATATATATATATATATTTATATATATATATCTTCCCCCCCCCCCTCTCTCTCTCTCTCTCTCTCTCTCTCTCTCTCTCTCTCTCTCTCTCTCTCTCTCTCTCTCTCTCTCTCTCTCTCTCTCTCTCTCTCTCTCTCTCTCTCTCTCTTTGTTTCTCTGCGAATGTGTGTGTGTGTTTGTGTGAGTGCGACTGAGAATGTGAATATACATATTTATATCAATTTATGTGTATATGTAGTTCACAACGTGCCCTGCGAGGCACGATCAGGCACCTTTTGTACTTCTCTGTAAAATAATTTATAATAAATTTATCAAATCAAATATTTCTGTGTCTTTCTTCCTCTTTCTCTCTCTCTCTCTCTCTCTCTCTCTCTCTCTCGCTCTCTCTCTCTCTCTCTCTCTCTCTCTCTCTCTCTCTTGCTCTCACTCTGTCTCTCCCTCTCTCTCTCTCTCTCTCTCTCTCTCTCTCTCTCTCTCTCTATCTATCTATCTATCTATTTATCTATCTATCTCACTCTCTCTCTCTCTCTCTTGCTCTCTCTCTCTCTCTCTCTCTCTCTCTCTCTCTCTCTCTCTCTCTCTCTCTCTCTCTCTCTCTCTCTCTCTCTCTCTCTCTCTCTCTCTCTCTCTCTCTCTCTCTCTCTCTCTCTCTCTCTCTCTCTCTCTTGCTATCTCTCTCTCTGTGTGGTGCAGCGGCAGCGTTCTCGTCTAGCAATCTTGCTGACCTGCGTTCGAATCCCTCGCCACCAGTGGATGGTAACCCCGGCCATTCCTTGCACACAGGGGATAATTTAGAAGCAAAATAAAACAGACAGTATGTCACAGCAAGAATATCCATTGTAACAAATGGAATCAAACTAAATTAAATTACTCTCTATCTATCTATCTCACTCTCCCTCTCTCTCTCTCACTCTCTCTCTCTCTCTCTCTCTCTCTCTCTCTCTCTTGCTATCTCTCTCTCTATCTATCTCTCTCACTCTCTCTCTCTCTCTCTCTCTCTCTCTCTCTCTCTCTCTCTCTCTCTCTCTCTCTCTCTCTCTCTCTCTCTCTCTTTCTCTCTCTTTACACACACACACACACACACACACACACACACACACACACACACACACACACACACACACACACACACACACACACACACACACACACACACACACACACAAACATACACACGCATATATATATATATATATATATATATATATATATATATATATATATATATATATATATATATATGTATATATATATATATATATATATATATATATATATATATATATTAATATATATATATATATATATATATATATATATATATATATATATATATATATATATATACATATATACATATATATATATATATATATATATATATATATATATATATATATATATATATATATATATGTATGTATGTATAGTGTATCTCTCTCTCTCTCTCTCTCTGAGCTAAAAGACAGACAAACCGAAGTCATTCTCCACAGAATGCGCCTAGGTTACCACTGTAAATGGCAGATAATTGAGACCATTGTCCATGAAGAGAGGTGTTGCATGCATTGCGGCGAGCCGAACGCCACACTTATACATTACTTAGAGAATTGTGTACACACACAATTCCTGAGACAGGGACCCCCGACAACAGCCGCCGTGCTGGTAAAGAGACTTTGCGATTCGCTTACCCCGTGGCAGCAGGAGCGCCTGCTGGCAATCCCACCGCCACGGTAAGCACCGAGAGCCATAGATCGAAATGAGTCAGCCCTAATAAGCTGACACAGGCCGGGCCATAGCCGAAGGCCCGGGCGAAGCTAGAACTTCGCAAATCACAATCTCTCTCTCTCTCTCTCTCTCTCTCTCTCTCTCTCTCTCTCTCTCTCTCTCTCTCTCTCTCTCTCTATATATATATATATATATATATATATATATATATATATATATATATATATGTATGTATGTATAGTGTATCTATCTATCTATCTATCTATCTATCTATCTATCTATCTATC